ATTTATATATATATATACACACTTATATATATATATATATATATATATATATATACAGTATATATATACACATGATATATATGTATACATATAAATATATATGCATCGTACATATTTCGAACGCAATTAAATTTTGACGAATAAATGTAGCATCTAAACATTTGACCTAAAAGAAAGTAGATTTAGTGTAAATAATTCCACTTAACACTGCTGAATATGCATATATGAACATTTCTACGTACACTCCCCCAGTGACAACAGGGTTATTTACAGCTGTATTGGTTTCTATTGTCTGGTTAGTAAACACTGCAACTAGCAACACATCACCTGAAAACAATCATAATATATGTGATTATATCATTACATCTGAGTATTTTAAAGTGAAACCTGTTAGAGTATAATGATACATGAGGTTATCTATGCGGTTTTCGTACACTGTATTCATTGTAGGGATGTGGGAACTCACATGTTATTAGTTAAAACAAAGTAGGAGATCTGTCAAAAAAACATATTATCAAAAGCTCGTTTAATAGAATCATTTACACTCAGATTGCAGGTCTTGCATAATAATTCATCCAAGAAGCTTTTGAGATGGGAAATGGGAAGTAAATTCTATATATTCATGTTTTCTAACCATTCAATGTACCGTTGCACTTAAATGTTTAATACATTTTTATCTAGACCTATTAGTATACAATTTCATATATATATATATATATATCATATTTCTACAATAATGTATGTTTGTCATCTTTTTACTATTCAAAAACAGGCAAAATAGAATCATATTTACATAAAACAACTTCAGAATTATATTCATAAGGAACATTTCAAGCTTTATTGCTGAAGTGGGGCGAGTTTTATATTATTATGGTAGGATGATTTTTTTTGTAAATATAAGGTCATCTGGGTCTGTATTTTACAACAACTTACTTTTTCGTTTATAGATTCATCGTGTTTCCACCGTACTTGGTGTCGACAGAAAAATTATTAACAAATTATGTAATTATTATTTATAACAGTGTTGGCAGGTCGATCGTTGCGAAAGAACACAAACGTGCACTGACAATCCACCGGACTCTGCATTTTACTTTAAGAAGTATCATAAAGGCTGACGTTGAGTCGCATGCTGATAGTAAATTGCTGGACGTATCATAGCGGCCAGAGTTTGAGTCGCACGCTGCACAGAGTAAAGTGCCGTACAATAGGCCTAGCGGCCCGAGACTGAGTGGATATACTGCTAAGAGTAAAGTGCAGTTAATAGCTTCTCGAGTTACAGTAGCACTTACAGCAGCAAAGTTAGTGTTATTTTTATTTCACTTATTTTTACTTAGGGGCCTATCGATTGTAAAAGGCGTTCTATAAACATAAATTACTTTAAAAGTAGAGGCCTCGCCTATACTCTGCTGCAGCTCCTATTTTTTATAATGTTGCGGTTGTTATTTCTCTTGTATTTGTTGCTGTTATCGTTATCATTATCATTAAGACTTTTTACATATATTATAATACATTATTCATTTATTACTGTTCTTATTCTATTGTATTATTACTGCAATTATTTTTAATTATAGTATTTGCATTTTCATATAAGAGCGAGGCGTAATCATTCTTTCATAATAATGTATGTAGGAATATCATTATAATGACATTACCTTTCATTTTAACCTGAAGATCAAACTCTACTTTCGTGTCATCAACAAGTTTCAAGCTGTTGTTTACCCATTGAATACCGTTGGTACTTACTATCTTTGCAATTCCAACTATAAGAAAATTATGAATATTTATAATTTACGTCCATTTGAGGTAAATCATAAGGGTACTTTACGTTATCATCAATTAAAAAAAACATTAAACTTTTTTCACAATTACAATCTGAATGTCTCAATTTGAAAATGTAACGGTTTCAAAGAACCAGATTTTAATCTGACTGGCAGTCTGTATTATATAAATAACACGAAATAGTATGTTTAGATCTCAAAGACTGCTCAAGCTTTGTATAATTTAAAATATTGAAATTCCAAACTATGCGTTGTTATGGAATAAATACGGTTCTTGAAATTATGTGACTTTTGTATGTCTTCATACAGCAAAAGTTGAATAAAAAATATCTTACTATAGTTCATTTCATCAAAATACTCTGTTTTGGTTTGTAGGCCTTTTATGTGGTTTAAGTTTGATAAAACACAACTGTCAAATTCTGTAAAGTACTCCATTACCTACAAGCAGAACGGAAAATGAACACTTATTAATAAACGCATTGAAAATGATATCTACATATAACCACCCCATTATTCTCGCATATTGCATTATACAAGGACAGTCACCAGTCCAACGTATATGAATATGATGACAGTAGAATAATGGGGTGCTATAACCATGGAGTACCTACACAATAATGTATAATAAAAGTACGTCTATAAATATGCGTTGGCTTAATTTCGGCATGTTCTCTCCTAGGTTAAAGTTAAAGTCTTTGTTGTCCGTGAACCTTTGGTAGCATCAAGTACAACAGGGTTTGAGATGATGTAGTGAATGCTACTCCCCGAGGTGTTGGAGTTCGGAAGTGGAATTCACCGATTTACCGAAATAAAACCATGTTGTAGTTGTAGGTACGACATGGTTTGAGGTGACGTAATGAATTCTACTTCATCAGGTGTTGGATAGTTGGAACTTTACTTTCCGATGTGAATCTATAGTCCTAATTCTAAAAACGATGAAGTACAGAAGAATTCACTGTTTTTACCGAAATAGGCCCTATAACCATGTTTTATTTGTGTTAATACACCTCATATAAACAGCAAACCACACGTCTATAATAGTCATTTCGATCTGTGACAGTACAATTACACAATTTGCATATGGCTCTCTTTGCCGGCGTATATGTACGCCTAAATTTTGCACGGACAAGGAAAACCACACCCATCGGTTGGAATTGACCAACGTATGTTCTCTAGACAACAAAAAGAGGATATGAATCAGGTGAAATCAGATGAATTCAAGGCTCATGGTGGGAATTTACCTATGACATCGACAGTTAAAAATTTATACAATATTAGCTGTAACTGATATTTGGTTGTGGTCTTTAGATGTTACTAATAATCACACTAATATACTACTTCGAAGAAGTTACCATGTCTGTGAATGAAATATATTTTACTTAAAAACACAAAATAATTATTACGTCCACGTTCTTTAAGTTATTGGTACTAGGCCTAAATATTGTAAGTTAAAAGCTAATACTAAATCTGAACACAGAAAAAATATATCTAAACTACACGGCTAACATGAAAACAAATACAACTGGAATAGGCCTACAATTTAGTACACGAAAGTTCACAATAAACACATCAAGGGACAAAAATAAACCAACCTTGTTTGGTTTGGTACAATTACTGCTACCATCGTCACTTGAACAGCCTTAAAAAATGATAATAATAATAATAATAATAATAATAATAATAATAATAATAATAATAATAATAATAATAATTAAAAACACTACGAGGCATTTATTAAAACAAACAATCGTCTTTCATCAAATTACTGATCGCGGGCTCAATAATGAGCCCGATCGTGTAGTAGCAAATATATTTCGGAAATACTATTCCAATCATCAGTGCAAAAATACCAATTTTTCCAAGGTCTCTCCCTTTGCACCTGTTTTAGCGAATTTGTTTATGGGTCACCATGAAAAACCTGGCTAAGTAACTTCACCCAGGCACCTGTTGCGTTCTTACGAAGCTGTTTAAGGGACATGATGAATTTTTATTTTATTTTCCTAACCCGTACGTACGCCTTATTAAGCCGTACGTACGCCTTATTAAGTCGTACGTACGACTTATTAAGGCGTACGTATGCCTTATGTAACCCGTACGTACGACTTATTAAGGCGTACGTACGCCTTACTAAGGCGTACGTACGCCTTATTAAGGCCAATCAGAAGACGATTAACAATGAAGTTTGGCTTAGCTGCAAGGCCCTCAGCTAATCAAAAACTACCTTCCATTCCGTTTGTCCAATGTAAGTAGTAAACAACACACGTCCACTTGCAAGTATGGCGTTGGACAGAAGCTTATCAAATGATAAATCTGAGCCGGTTTCAGGCATATTTTTGTGATACATGTTGTGAGAACATAGAGTATGGTTGTGTCATTAAGCGTAAACAGCTTATAGAAATTTAAGGATGTACAACTCTGCTGACTCTCAGATTTGCACTGCTGACTCTCAATTTTGCACAGCTGCCAATTGTATTTTGTCCTTTTGGCGTTCCATAATTGAGAAGCACTAAGCGTCTCTCTATCACACCACACACACACACACACACACACACACACACACACAGGATTTCCAGTGCCTTTTTCTCAAACTGGGGTACTATCGACAGCAAAATAACCACGGTATTGTGAATCAAATATGATGATGTTATATTGTAGTAAACATAATAAGACAATAATTTTGGCAATGAATTGACCCTTCATAAAGAACTGATAAATGAAGCAACTCAAGGATAGCCATGCACAATTATATAGCAACTATTTACTACTATCTACCAAGAACAATGGTTTACTACACATATTGAAACAATTCAGTTTTTTGGGGGTAGGGGATGTGCCCTTCAGTGACTGTGCTTAGACTAATTAATTCAGGCATAATTTGATTTTAATGTCTTCATGAAAGAATATAACAAAATTATTATATTAATACTAGTACAGTATGTTTTATCTACATACGAATCCTTCACACATCATAACAAAAAATATAGTATTAATAGGTATCAAAACTGACTTAAGCAATTAATATTTATCAACACTTAGATGTCCAATTAAACATCACCACCGGCATTTAATATTGTATTATACTGATATTACTTGTTACTTTTTCTTTTTTTTTGGAAAACAACCTTTGTTTAAAAGGAAACAATTAAAATACACATTTGATCATAAAACAATCACAGTAACCTCTCTTTTGAATTAGTTTGTTTAATTAATTTTCACAGACCACAGACTCAAGTGAATGGAAGTTGATGAACCACATCCAAAGCAAATTTTGCTTCATTCTGCATCAGCTGAAATCAAGAATTGAGAAGTGCTTCCTGGTCGAAGCCATGTTCTCCCATGTAACAATAATATATTAAGTACTTTTAATAGAGAAATAACCATTGAGAAATTAGTAAGATGTGAAACATTGAGTGGTGGAATTAGTTGAGGTTGCTATTGCAAATCAGGATGAAGCCTTGTTACTACATGAGGGATATAAGTATCTGGTGGCAATTCAGGCCATATTATAGGCATGAATCAATTGAAAGTACTGTAGTCTTATCTGATTGGAACTGTATACTGTTTGATGAATGTTGTTATCTATTTGATATAACATCATACTATACACTGTGTTGAGAAATATTACCATATATTTTTTAATTTTTCCTTGTATGAACAGTTATCAACAACACATTTATTTTCTTTATAAAAATTTGCAGTGACTTTTTGAATGGCATTGTATGGTATTTTACAATGCAATATGAAAAGAGGAAAATAATGGAACAGCACTTGCTGATAAATAATATTGAATACAGCAGAACTGTCATTCTTTCTAGTTTCTTTTAAACTGTTTATACTGGATGGCTACATTGATAATATTATATAGGCCCTAATTGTAGTATTTAACACATGTTCATAAGTGGATTGGATTGAACTTTATATTCAGCTACAGTGTTTCAATAATATTCACATAAAAGTATTCAGACTTTTGTCATAAACTTCTTCCAACCTTCGTGGTTACTGTTGTGTATTTAAATTTATATACCTAGTGAATGATCAGAGAGATAATGAAAGTGCTGATGGGATGCAACTGGCTGAACTGACCTATATTAAATATTTATTTGTTTACCTCCTTATTGGAATCATCAACTACTTTTATTCATTCATTCAGTCCATATTATCAAGGTCTTCAAGCAGCTAAACAAAATTCAACTGGCATGGCAAAAAATTCAGATCATTGCATGCAAATACAAACATTTGAAATTTTACATCAGCCTCAATGTGTTCAGTATTTTTTGAAGTAATTCAGTCTCAGTTTTCTTTTAAATTTTTTTTAATGTATTTTAAAAAAATAGAATCGAAATATTATATTATATATTTATGTCTTTCATTCAAAGTCGATAAACACATTCAATTCAATACACATTCAGTAAAGCACGGTCGCCTTTGGTTTACAAAAAACTACGGTATGATAGCCGAGGGAAGACGGGAAATGCGATTTACTACCTCTACAATCTTACTACTACAGTATTACCAATGTATTTTATTTAAAGGCTGGTATACTTATATCATATTGAAATATTCCACTAAAATCGAAGAACTTTCGACCAAATTGCTACAGATTGTCACTTTCCTCGCGACATTGTTTATATTAGTTACCGAGTTTACAAGAACGCTTGTGATTGGCTAATAGCGTCACATCAATGCTTAACAGGTATGGTAAGTGTGCTGTGATTGGGTACTGCTTTCGTGAACGCCATTATTTTTTCGAAGATAAATTCTCATTTTTGGTTACAGTTTCCCCAAATTTACGATTGCCGACAATTATCTTATGTTTCAATAAAACATTTTTGTGCGAATACCAAGTAGCCTGGATTGGTGGGTCACAGAATTCGTAAACTAAGCCGATTTTGGAGCCTCAACCCACGTACACCTGTACGTACGCAACCCGTACGTACGCCTTAATAATGCGTACTTACGCCTTATTAAGGCGTACGTACGGG